GTTAATACAACGTGTATGTTTAATACATGTTAATACAACGTGTATGTTTAATACAGCATGTTAATACAACGTGTATGTTTAATACAGCATGTTAATACAACGTGTATGTTTAATACAGCATGTTAATACAACGTGTATGTTTAATACAGCATGTTAATACAACGTGTATGTTTAATACATGTTAATACAACGTGTATGTTTAATACAACATGTTAATACAACGTGTATGTTTAATACAGCATGTTAATACAACGTGTATGTTTAATACAGCATGTTAATACAACGTGTATGTTTAATACATGTTAATACAACGTGTATGTTTAATACAGCATGTTAATACAACGTGTATGTTTAATACATGTTAATACAACGTGTATGTTTAATACAGCATGTTAATACAACGTGTATGTTTAATACAGCATGTTAATACAACGTGTATGTTTAATACATGTTAATACAACGTGTATGTTTAATACAGCATGTTAATACAACGTGTATGTTTAATACATGTTAATACAACGTGTATGTTTAATACAGCATGTTAATACAACGTGTATGTTTAATACAGCATGTTAATACAACGTGTATGTTTAATACAGCATGTTAATACAACGTGTATGTTTAATACATGTTAATACAACGTGTATGTTTAATACAGCATGTTAATACAGCGTGTATGCTTAATACAGCTCGTTGATACAACGTGTATGTTTAATACAACATGTTAATACAACGTGTATGTTTAATACAACATGTTGATACAACGTGTATGTTTAATACAAAATACATTAAAATGTATGAGAGATATGTACACCACATGAGTGGAAGTGTATGATAATACATGTATGGTGTATGTTAGTACATCAGAGACCATACATGAGTGACAATACATCAGATAAAATACAACACATACAATACAGCAGAAACAATGTTAGAGACAATACAACACACAATACTACAGAAATAATACATTAAATACAATACATATAATACATTTGCAATTCTCTTGTATACCACTGGAACATTTTATGCACTAAATGCGTATGGGTCACTCAGAGTCTGGTGGAAGAAACACTCGGGTTCGATCCAAGGAAAGGGGGATAGACACAACGCCTTGGATCAAGAACCCTCACTGGCATCAAGTGATCTTGATGCTTATGTGCACCTGTGTGTAGCCTCATGTGTACCTGTGTGTAGCCGCATGTGTACCTGTGTGTAGCAGTGTGTGTGGCTTCATGTGTACCACCTGTGTGTAGCTTCATGTGTATTTGTGTAGTTTCATGTGCATCTGTGTAGCCTGCGTACCTGTGTGTAGTATCATGTGTACCTGTGTGTAGCCTCATGTGTACCTGTGTGTAGCCTCATGTGTACCTGTGTGTAGCTTCATGTGTACCTGTGTGTAGCTTCATGTGTACCTGTGTGTAGCTTCATGTGTACCTGTGTGTAGCTTCATGTGTACCTGTGTGTAGCTTCATGTGTACCAGTGTGTAGCCTCATGTGTACCTGTGTGCAGCCTCATGTGTACCTGTGTGTAGCTTCATGTGTACCTGTGTGTAGCTTCATGTGTACCTGTGTGTAGCTTCATGTGTACCTGTGTGTAGCCTCATGTGTACCTGTGTGTAGCCTCATGTGTACCTGTGTGTAGCTTCATGTGTACCTGTGTGTAGCTTCATGTGTACCTGTGTGTAGCCTCATGTGTACCTGTGTGTAGCTTCATGTGTACCTGTGTGTAGCTTCATGTGCACCTGTGTGTAGCCTCATGTGTACCTGTGTGTAGCCTCATGTGTACCTGTGTGTAGCTTCACATGTACCTGTCTGTAGCCTCATGTGTACCTGTGTGTAGACTCATGTGTACCTGTGTGTAGCCTCATGTGTACCTGTGTGTAGCCTCATGTGTCAGTAGTGTTACAACTGGAATAATTTTATTTTTCACAGTGTGCAAATACGTATATTATATATATATATATATATATATATAATATATATATATATATATATATATATATATATATATATATATATATATATATATATATATATATGTATAATCTTATTCACTTATTACTAAATATCTCAGTTTTTCATCCATTGTATTCACTTTTATCCAGTGTCTACTAGTATTAAGAACACGGATAATAATGGCTGTATAAACACTAATTATTATCATTCTTATATTGTTATATTTGGCAGAAAATATTAAATTCGTATATATTATAGAGCGTCTGGTTAGTTAATATATTTACAGCAGTGTCACTCTGTGGTTGTTGCAGGGGGGAGTGCCTGCCAGCCGTGGTTGTGTATGACATTGTGGTTGTTGCAGGGGGAGTGCCTGCCAGCCGTGGTTGTGTATGGTATTGTGGTTGTTGCAGGGGGGAGTGCCTGCCAGCCGTGGTTGTGTATGGTATTGATTGTGATTGTTGCAGGGGGGAGTGCCTACCAGCCGTGGTTGTGTATGGCATTGTGGTTGTTGCAGGGGGGAGTGCCTGCCAGCCGTGGTTGTGTATGGTATTGTGGTTGTTGCAGGGGGAGTGCCTGCCAGCCGTGGTTGTGTATGGTATTGTGGTTGTTGCAGGGGGGAGTGCCTGCCAGCCGTGGTTGTGTATGGCATTGATTGTGGTTGTTGCAGGGGGGAGTGCCTGCCAGCCGTGGTTGTGTATGGCATTGTGGTTGTTGCAGGGGGGAGTGCCTGCCAGCCGTGGTTGTGTATGGTATTGTGGTTGTTGCAGGGGGGAGTGCCTGCCAGCCGTGGTTGTGTATGGTATTGTGGTTGTTGCAGGGGGAGTGCCTGCCAGCCGTGGTTGTGTATGGTATTGTGGTTGTTGCAGGGGGAGTGCCTGCCAGCCGTGGTTGTGTATGGTATTGTGGTTGTTGCAGGGGGGAGTGCCTGCCAGCCGTGGTTGTGTATGGCATTGATTGTGGTTGTTGCAGGAGGGAGTGCCTGCCAGCCGTGGTTGTGTATGACATTGTGGTTGTTGCAGAGAGGAGTGCCTGCCAGCCGTGGTTGTGTATGGCATTGATTGTGGTTGTTGCAGGAGGGAGTGCCTGCCAGCCGTGGTTGTGTATGACATTGTGGTTGTTGCAGAGAGGAGTGCCTGCCAGCCGTGGTTGTGTATGGCATTGATTGTGGTTGTTGCAGGAGGGAGTGCCTGCCAGCCGTGGTTGTGTATGAAAATTGTGGTTGTTGCAGAGAGGAGTGCCTGCCAGCCGTTGTTGTTTATGGCATTGATTGTGGTTGTTGCAGAGGGAAGTGCCTGCCAGCCGTGGTTGTGTATGACATTGATTGTGGTTGTTGCAGGGGGGAGTGTCTGCCAGCCATGGTTGTGTATGGCATTGATTGTGGTTGTTGCAGGGGGAGTGTCTGCCAGCCATGGTTGTGTATGGCATTGATTGTGGTTGTTGCAGGGGGGAGTGTCTGCCAGCCGTGGTTGTGTATGGCATTGATTGTGGTTGTTGCAGGGGGGAGTGTCTGCCAGCCATGGTTGTGTATGGCATTGATTGTGGTTGTTGCAGGAGGGAGTGCCTGCCAGCCGTGGTTGTGTATGACATTGTGGTTGTTGCAGAGAGGAGTGCCTGCCAGCCGTGGTTGTGTATGGCATTGATTGTGGTTGTTGCAGGAGGGAGTGCCTGCCAGCCGTGGTTGTGTATGACATTGTGGTTGTTGCAGAGAGGAGTGCCTGCCAGCCGTTGTTGTTTATGGCATTGATTGTGGTTGTTGCAGAGGGAAGTGCCTGCCAGCCGTGGTTGTGTATGACATTGATTGTGGTTGTTGCAGGGGGGAGTGTCTGCCAGCCATGGTTGTGTATGGCATTGATTGTGGTTGTTGCAGGGGGGAGTGTCTGCCAGCCATGGTTGTGTATGGCATTGATTGTGGTTGTTGCAGGGGGGAGTGTCTGCCAGCCGTGGTTGTGTATGGCATTGATTGTGGTTGTTGCAGGGGGGAGTGTCTGCCAGCCGTGGTTGTGTATGGCATTGATTGTGGTTGTTGCAGGGGGAGTGCCTGCCAGCCGTGGTTGTGTATGGCATTGATTGTGGTTGTTGCAGGGGGGAGTGCCTGCCAGCCGTGGTTGTGTATGGCATTGATTGTGGTTGTTGCAGGGGGGAGTGCCTACCAGCCGTGGTTGTGTATGGCATTGACTGTGGTTGTTGCAGGGGGGAGTGCCTACCAGCCGTGGTTGTGTATGGCATTGATTGTGGTTGTTGCAGGGGGAGTGCCTGCCAGCCGTGGTTGTGTATGGCATTGATTGTGGTTGTTGCAGGGGGAGTGCCTGCCAGCCGTGGTTGTGTATGGCATTGATTGTGGTTGTTGCAGGGGGAGTGCCTTCCAGCCGTGGTTGTGTATGGCATTGATTGTGGTTGCTGCAGGGGGGAGTGCCTACTAGCCGTGGTTGTGTATGGCATTGATTGTGGTTGTTGCAGGGGGGAGTGCCTACCAGCCGTGGTTGTGTATGGCATTGATTGTGGTTGTTGCAGGGGGGAGTGCCTGCCAGCCGTGGTTGTGTATGGCATTGATTGTGGTTGTTGCAGGGGGGAGTGCCTGCCAGCCGTGGTAGTATGGCATTGATTGTGGTTGTTGCAGGGGGAAGTGCCTACCAGCCGTGGTTGTATTTGACATTGATTGTGGTTGTTGCAGGGGGGAGTGCCTACCAACCGTGGTTGTGTATGGCATTGATTGTGGTTGCTGCAGGGGGGGAGTGCCTACCAACCGTGGTTGTGTATGGCATTGTGGTTGTTGCAGGGGGAAATGCCTGCCAGCCGTGGTTGTGTATGGCATTGTGGTTGTTGCAGGGGGGAGTGCCTGCCAGCCGTGGTTGTGTATGGTATTGTGGTTGTTGCAGGGGGGAGTGCCTGCCAGCCGTGGTTGTGTATGGCATTGTGGTTGTTGCAGGGGGGAGTGCCTGCCAGCCATAGTTGTGTATGACATTGATTGTGATTGTTGCAGAGGAGAGTGCCTGTCAGCCGTGGTTGTGTATATCACTGTGTGATCGTTTTGGTTGTTGCAGGCGGTGCGTGCCAGCCGTGGTTGTGTACGACAGTGGCGTGTGCACAAAAGAGGAGGATGACCCCGCCAACGCTGTCCTCTACTTCCGCCCACGCCACACGCCCACCACCGCCCGCACCTCCCTGGCCGGCCAGCTGGCGGGCGTGGTCCACTTCTGCCGCCACGCCTTCGCCACGCCCACCATCGTCAGGACCAGACACGCCCACATAGCCCTCAAGGACTACGGGCGCTTTGTTGTGGTGAGTCTGTGTGTGTGTGTGTGTGTGTGTGTGTGTGTGTGTGTGTGTGTGTGTGTGTACGTGCGTGTTACGTACATCAGTATGGTATCATGTGCTCATAGACGTAATTTTTCTATACTTACGTTGAGTTGGTGCTAAAAATTAATAAAAGATTAGGCCTGGTCACAGACCAGGCCGTGGGGGGCATTGACCCCCGGAACTCTCTCCAGGTATACTCCAAGTATATCCTTTATATAGAGTGTAATGTGTATATTACAGTGAACTGTGTTCAATGTTCACCATATTTTATTATATTCTAGGTATTTACAGTGATGTAGTGGTGGGAAGGAACAGCAATACCTCTGTAATTAATTTAACAGTTTAATAAGTCGTGTGCGTTGCCCGGTGCACGGCACCTCTGGTTGCCAAGTGACCAGCATCAGCTAGTGGGTAGGCAACAGTTAGCTAGCCCTTAGCTGGTCTATATACACAGATTGTGTTAGAGATGTCTGGCTGGAGTCTTACTCAAACAGTGGTTAACTTACACCCAGGGTGGGGAAGGGGTCGTATTTTGTTCAGCTTGTCTCGGTTTCCAGAGGTAGACTTGTGACGTTTCTGTCATGGGACGTACATGGCCTGGATGGGTTTATTTTGTGTGTGTGTGTGGAGGTATTCCTGTCTCGCCTTCTGGCTCCTAACACACTAGACCTCTGCCATGTGTCAGTCCCTGAACACGAGTTCATGCCTCCGACACACTGGTCTTTGCCACTTGTAAAGCCAGTCAGTCTCAGAGCAGCACTGCCGGGGTAAGCCGGACTCCACTCTGGCTTCCGACTCGGCTTCTGTTACTCCACACAGATGCTGATCTGCTCTGAGGTTGTGAATGTCTCGATCCACTGATGTTCTGCTAATGACACTGCCTTCACGTCTTACCCCAACACTTCTTGTTAGTCTCCTACTGTTACATCTCTCTCATCTGCTCTTTTCTATAACTGTGTCTAATTGAAGATTATTATGATATTCTGAGTTGTTAAGGAACAAAAGATCTTCTGATTATTCTACTGTATATTACTATCATGCTAGATATTATTAAGATTTCTGTCTCGCTTTTCATCTTTTTACTTTGTTACGATCGCCGAAGCAGTTTATTGTCAGGTGGAAGATGAACTCCTGGACTGACTGTGTGTGTGTGTGTGTGTGTGTGTGTGTGTGTGGTGTGTGTGTGTGTGTGTGTGTGTGTGTGTACTCGCCTAATTGTGGTTGCAGGGGTCGAGACTCAGCTCCTGGCCCCGCCTCTTCACTGACCGCTACTGGGTTCTCTCTCCCTGCTCCATGAGCTTTATCATACCTCGTCTGAAAGCTATGTATGGTTCCTGCCTCCACTACATCACTGGCAAGACTATTCCACTTCCTGACAACTCTATGACTGAAGAAATTCTTCCTAACATCCCTTTGATTCATAGGACTCTTCAACTTCCAATTGTGACCCCTTGTTTCTGTGTCCCATCTCTGGAACATCCTATCTCTGTCCACCCTGTCGATGCCTCTCTGTATTATATAAGTCGTTATCATGTCCTCTATTTCCCTTCTGTCCTCCAGTGTCGTCAGGTAGAGCTCCCTAAACCTCTCTCCTCGTAGGACATGCCCCTTAGCTCCGGGACTAGTCTCGTTGCAAACTTTGCACTGTCTTTAGTTTCCTGGCGTGCTTGGCCAGATGTGAGTTCCAAGCTGGAGCTGCATACTCCAATATGGGCCTGACATATACGGTGTACAGGGTCCGGAACTACTCCTTACTGAGATACCCGAATGCTATTCTTAGGTTTGCTAGGCGCCCATATGCTGCAGCGGTTATTTGGCTGATGTGCGCCTCAGATGTGCTCGGTATTATACACACTCTGAGATTCTTTTCCTCGAGTAAGGTTTGTAGTCTGACCCCCTAGATTGTTCTCCGTCTGCGATCTTCTTTGCTGCACTTGGTGGGGATCTGGACAGGCCTGCAACATGTCCAGATCCCTCTAGAGTCCTAGCTTATCCTCCTCTGACTGAATTCTCCTCATTAGTTCGCATCGTCTGCAAACAGGGAACTTCTGAGTCTGTTCCTGCCGTTGTGTTATTTACATGTACCAGAAACAGCACCGGTCCTAGGATTGACCCCTGTGGAGCCCCGCTGTGTACTCGCCTAATTGTACTCACCTAATTGTGGTTGCAGGGGTCGAGACTCGGCTCCTGGCCCCGCCTCTTCACTGATCGCTAATAGGTCCTCTCTCTCTCCCTGCTCCATGAGCTTTATCATACCTCGTCTCAAAGCTATGTATGGTTCCTGCCTCCACTACATCACTTGCTAGACTACTCCACTTCCTGACTACTCTGAAGAAATACTTCCTAACATCCCTTTGGCTCGTAGGACTCTTCAACTTCCAATTGTGACCCCTTGTTTCTGTGTCCCCTCTCTGGAACATCCTGTCTCTGCCCACCTTGTCTATTCTACGCAGTATTTTGTATGTCGTTATCATATCTCCCCTAACCCTCACCTCCTCCAGTGACGTCAGGTCGATTTCCCTTAACCTTTCTTGGTGTGTGTGTACTCACCTATTTGTGGTTACAGGGGTCTAGTCATAGCTCCTGGCCCCGCCTCTTCGCTGAAATTTTTTTTTAACTTCCTCCCCGGAGGGAGTGGACTAAAATGTCCTGATTAAAAAACAATTTACTAGAAGTGTGTGTGTGTTGTGTGTGTTGTGTGTGTGTGTGTTGTGTGTGTGTGTGTGTGTGTGTGTGTTTTATATTACATAAATTACCAATGGTTGACAGCATCTGTTAAGTTGTTTCCCTTCAGCTATTTATCACCGTATGTGTATATAAATATTATCTAGCAATCCTTCTATTATATGTCAAGTTGGGGAAACATGAAGAACCACCTAGCATGACCAACTGCCTCACCAAGAAGATTATTGCTCTAGTCACATCCTCAACACAAACCACAACAGCCACAAACACAATACAAACCTAGCAGCACAACACAACATAATGCAGCAACACAACACAGCACCATAACAACATATCGCAGTATCACACCAACAACATATCACAGCACCACAACACAGTACCAAAAAACAGCACAACACAGCATAACACCACAACACACTGCACTACAACACATCTTTTCAACGTAACACTATCACAACACACCAAAACATAACACAGTATCAACACAGCACCAAACAGCACACCACCACAACACATTTACAACACATCAAACCACACAACACAGTACCACCACAACACAGTATCACCACAACACAGTATCGATCATAACGTTGGCCCAGCGGTCGCTGACAACAACAACAACACGGGCTGCTTGGTAAACATGATCGTCTTTCTCTCACAATTTGGCTGAGATGTGATGATACTGTTGGCAAACTGTGCTATTGTTGCCGTGTACACACACGAGGTAGGAGGAGCTAGGAAGAGGGGCTGGGAGAGACGCAGGGAGACAGACGGGCGGAGAGAGAACAGGAAAAGTACAGAGGATAGTTAAGTTTATTCAGGTATACACAAATACAGTTACATAGATTATCATACGTAGCAGCATATGTGTAGAGAACCTCGGATAACCCCCAAAAAAGTCAGTGACTTATTTCCATTCGAGAATATAAGAAACAGTGGCAATTCAAGGAAGAATACATAGGGATAAGATAAGCCGAGAAAGAGAGAGGGAGGAGAAGAGAACAGGAATGGGGAAGAATGTTGGGGAAAGAAAAAGAGACGATAGGAAGGGAAAAGCAAAGATATTTAGGATAGGACGGAGAGTGTGAGGCAGGGAAGGGGAGAAATGGCCATAGGGAGAAATAAAATAATGGAATAGGGGACGGGAAAACAACGGAAATTATACAGGAAAAAAAACTCGGAAGAGGGAAGAATGGAAAAAATAACGTGAAAGTGGGAGAGAAATTCAAGAACATCATTAAGGAAAGACAAAATTATGCATAGAGGAAGAGACAGACATAGAGATTGTGTGTACTCACCTAATTGTGGTTGCAGGGGTCGAGACTCTGCTCCTGGCCCCGCCTCTTCACTGATCGCTACTAGGTTCTATCCCTCTCTGCTCTGTGTATGAGAGACACAGACACAGACAAAGAGTAAGTGTCCAGCCAGCCACTGAATAACAAATGGGCGTGTGTTTACAGATGGTGTGTGGGCGTGGCGGGGAGTGGGCGCGGGCTCGACTCCTGGAGGTGACGAGACTCTTGGACGCCTCGACGGGCGGCCTACCTCACCTGTGGCTGACCTGCGGATACGACCACCAGGTTTTCACAGACAGGTAAAGTCAGGCCTACTCAACCTCATACGAACCACACTACGGGCGGGGATAGAACACGCGATCAGAGTCTCAAATCTCCAGACCGTCGCGTTAGCCACTGGACCAGCTAGTCCAGTGGCTAACGCGACGGTCTGGAGTTTCGAGACTCTCTGACCGCGGGTTCTAACCCCACCCGTGGTATGGTTTGTTTGCAATCGTGTCATGATTTCGTGAGTTAACCTCATACATGCAAGCGTCTGTAGGTTTGCAGTTCCATAATTACTTTGTTATTCTTACGTATATTTCATATACTAAATATCCAGACGTGTTTTAAAGATGGAAGAAATTCTTCTTAACCTTAAGTGTACCTATGTTATAGTTTATTAAAAGAAATCAAACACTCAAACTCCAGTATTGTAGGAAAAAACATTATTTTTTATGTACCTTAAACACAGGCTTTAAACTAGCCAGCCATCTAACCACCAGTAGTTTGTGGTAAATGGATCTTTTGTGTTGTCTGTCCCACCGGTACATTGTGGTGGAACTAATTTTTGTGACATAAGAACATAAGAAAGAAGGAACACTGCAGCAGGTCTACTGGCCCATGCGAAGAAAGTCCAAGTCTCCCACCGGCTTAAGCCACTGCCCCAACCTAGTAAGGTCAGTTCACATTCACTTAAGGAACATAGCAGCTGGCCCAGTAGCGCACAAGGCATTTCTCAATTACCCGAAAATTTGTAATAAACGAGTGTAACAATTCAAAGGCCAAGAATTTTTTCCTTCCAAGATTTTTTTTTTTTTGTGGCCGGGGGTGGAATTGTTACAACCTGAAAACCCCTTTTCTGATCGCCTTGAAACCTTCAATACAAGTATTTTAATTAAAGAACATAAAAGCACTGCAGGAGGCCTACAGGTCCATGCTAGACAATTTCATCTCACATCAGTGAGGCTACTTGGGAGATTGTTAAATTCGTCCTCAACTCTGTTGTCCAACCGGTGCGTTCCCACACCCTTTCTTAATCTAAATTTGTCCAATTTCAATCCATCTCTGTGACCCCTGTTTTAGTGAGATTTTTTCCAGCACGTTATATCCTTCATTCCCGTTTTCCATTTGTCCACCTCAATTATATCTTCCCTAATTCTACGCCTTTCCAGAAAGTACAAATGCATTATTCTCAGCTTATCTTCGTGGGAATGATTTCTGAGACATGGGACCAACTTCGTCATCCTTACCTTTTTATTTACACGCAAATTAGGTATACTATCTCCCCCCCCCCCCAAGATGCGACTAACACCCAGGTACATACTTACGGCTAGATGAACAGCAGCAGCAGGTGTCAATATGCCCAGAATCTCCACCTATGTGTTTTCTAGAGTATGTTCATTGAGTAATGTGTAGAGTAGAACGGGGCGGCATAACCTAAGGTCTTACCGAAGATATATAAAGTTAAGGTATAACCTGACAACCCCTATTATTTATACTTCTTGATATGAAGCCAAAAATTCTGTTAGATGTGATAAATGGTTTTGAAAACCGACAATCTCAATTTTATTAGACTTCTTGCGAACACATAAATTAGACACATATGCAACACTTGGGTATCTTTAGTGAGAAAACGTTTCGCCACACAGTGGCTTCATCAGTCCATACAAAGGAGAATGGTGGAGAACAGGAGGAGTTTGAGGTAATCAGTCCCTTAGCCTTGAGTCAATGTAATCAATCCATCAGTGCTGCACATGTGTCTAATTTATCAACTTATCGGTTCTCCGAACCATTCATCTACATTCTTGCGAGCACTGATGCGCTGATGTATTGGTTTAGATAACTGTATACTTAAATACTTAAATCTATTTTGCATGCAGACTAAAATCAATTTATTTACCTCGTAATTGCCATGATTATCCCCCCCCCCTTCCTTCCCAGGATTAGACAATGTTTATATTTATCCACATCCTGGACTACAGCATCAGCCTCTCCGGATCATCTTGTGGTGCCCGGGGAAAAAAAGTCACAGAAAATAAGTCACAATTTTGACTAGTTGTTAGGTAAGACACATATGCAACAGTTAGACAACTTTATTCCGAAACGTTTCGCCTACACAGTAGGCTTCTTCAGTCGAATACAGAAAGTAGGCAGGAACAGTAGAGATGTGAAGACGATGTAATCAGTCCATCACCATTGTAGTCGTAGAATTTGAGGTTGTCAGTCCCTCGGCCTGGAGAAGTTCAGTTCCATAGTCAGGAACTATGGAAAAAAAGTCACATTTTATGTAAATACCATAAATAATTAAAGTAGTAAAATAAATATTTTAAATGAGTTATTAACCGACAGTACATGACTCGTACACGTTGACAAAATACAATTTATATACATAGATAAAAAAAAAAATTATTCAATTTCTTAAGGAAATCTAGTGTCCTGAACGGAACATAGTTAACGGCCTATATCTCCCATTCCACAGGAGCTGTGTTCCCCCTACGGGTTTAGCTCTCTTGGTTAAAATAATTACAAAGAGTATCAATCTTTAATTAGTGATTCATCATGTGTAGGGGATGGAATATTTCTTAGGAAGAGACTGTGTAGGTGCAAACTTTGTTGGATTCTCTGCTGTAACTGAAGAATGCATTTTCTGGTCGGCTTGAAACTCTGATGTGTTTTACTAGTTTTGTGAATTAAATGTTGCACGTGTGTCCGGGATGCCCCAGATGTTGCACGTGTGTCCGGGATGCCCCAGATGTTGCACGTGTGTCCGGGATGCCCCAGATGTTGCACGTGTGTCCGGGATGCTCCAGATGTTGCACGTGTGTCCGGGATGCTCCAGATGTTGCACGTGTGTCCGGGATGCCCCAGATGTTGCACGTGTGTCCGGGATGCCCCAGATGTTGCACGTGTGTCCGGGATGCTCCAGATGTTGCACGTGTGACCGGGATGCTCCAAATGCTGCACGTGTGTCCGGGATGCCCCAGATGTTGCACGTGTGTCCGGGATGCTCCAAATGTTGCACGTGTGTCCGGGATGCCCCAGATGTTGCACGTGTGTCCGGGATGCTCCAGATGTTGCACGTGTGACCGGGATGCTCCAAATGCTGCACGTGTGTCCGGGATGCCCCAGATGTTGCACGTGTGTCCGGGATGCTCCAAATGTTGCACGTGTGTCCGGGATGCCCCAGATGTTGCACGTGTGTCCGGGATGCCCCAGATGTTGCACGTGTGACCGGGATGCTCCAAATGCTGCACGTGTGTCCGGGATGCCCCAGATGTTGCACGTGTGTCCGGGATGCTCCAAATGTTGCACGTGTGTCCGGGATGCCCCAGATGTTGCACGTGTGTCCGGGATGCTCCAGATGTTGCACGTGTGTCCGAGATGCTCCAGATGTTGCACGTGTGTCCGGGATGCCCCAGATGTTGCACGTGTGTCCGGGATGCTCCAGATGTTGCACGTGTGTCCGGGATGCTCCAGATGTTGCACGTGTCCGGGATGCTCCAGATGTTGCACGTGTGTCCGGGATGCTCCAGATGTTGCACGTGTGTCCGGGATGCTCCAGATGTTGCACGTGTGTCCGGGATGCTCCAGATGTTGCACGTGTGTCCGGGATGCTCCAGATGTTGCACGTGTCCGGGATGCTCCAGATGTTGCACGTGTCCGGGATGCCCCAGATGTTGCACGTGTGTCCGGGATGCCCCAGATGTTGCACGTGTGTCCGGGATGCCCCAGATGTTGCACGTGTCCGGGATGCTCCAGATGTTGCACGTGTGTCCGGGATGCCCCAGATGTTGCACGTGTGTCCGGGATGCCCCAGATGTTGCACGTGTCCGGGATGCTCCAGATGTTGCACGTGTGACCGGGATGCTCCAGATGTTGCACGTGTGACCGGGATGCTCCAGATGTTGCACGTGTGTCCGGGATGCCCCAGAAGTTGCACGTGTGACCGGGATGCCCCAGATGTTGCACGTGTGTCCGGGATGCCCCAGATGTTGCACGTGTGTCCGGGATGCCCCAGATGTTGCACGTGTGTCCGGGATGCCCCAGAAGTTGCACGTGTCTAATTCTTCATCTTAACGGTATTATGTCTTCTGCTCAGAAATAAGTGGAAGGTATTCAGGCTTAATTCAGGGAACTGGAGCACAGATCCAATTCCGTATTATTATTATTATTATAATAATCAAGGGGAAGCGCTAAACCCGGAGGATTATACAGCGCCTGGGGGGGGGATGTGGAAGGCATTCAGGCTTAATTCGGGGAACTGGTGCACAGATCCAATTCTCTAAATCAAGAGCCCCTCACCAACATCAAGGAACCTTCCTTGAGGGGTCCAATTCCGTAGATCAAAAGCCCCTCACCAGCGACAAGAACCCTCCCTGGTGGGGTTGGTGTGAGAGTATTGGGTTATCCTACACTAAATCTACGTAATGTACTTTAACATGTCTACATGTGCTCTCAGCACTATGTACAGATAAATGGTATATTATGTTCCCAAAACTTAAATTGTATTAACTTAGAAGCTGGTCAGTCTTACTTAAACAAGAGATGGGATTAATTTTAGATGTGTACATTTTTTCTGGGGGGGGGGGTAAAAACTGGGGAAATTGAAATAATGTTCTTGTAGTAATTTCTGGTTGTCACCACCGAGCGGCTTCAATCCTTCATCAATGATAACTGGATAATGTAACTTCCGAAAGCCTTCAAACTTAACGTGGAGTATTTTTGGATAGTGGTTTCTCTGAGAGAAGCGAATGCCTCTTCAGTTTAACAAAACTGGGGGTTTCTTAGTGGAAGATTTGAATTAGATTTAGGCTGTGTATATCCCAATTTACCATTTCTATTGAAGAAATTTTGAATTGTAGTTTGTACATTTCGATTTGTGAATGATTCATCTGATTCTTTTTAAATCTTCATTAGTATATAATCGTAATTTTTAAAGGGGTGGACCGGTAAGCCAGCGGAAGGCCTCGGTCAGATGACAAAAAATTCCAACGGCGGGTCATCATCTAAGACCCGCGTCAGGAAACACTTAGTCATGTTTCCTAAACCTTACCTAACCCCTCATTAGTAATATTTAGCTGCATAACAAATTTATGCCACACTATTAAAATCGCGTATATTCACACACAAGGATCTACAGTCATGCAATACGGGAATACCTTTCTCGGATCCCACAACCGAAATGTTTAATTATAACTATGATGCTCAGATGACTTGATCTTCTGACTTACTGGAGAGCAACATCTCGTCTCGGGTAGTGTGTCTAATCGGGTTGCAGGAAAGAGTATAAATTATAACCATGGCTGGAATGTCAACTGGGGTTAGAGTTATAGAAGAGGGAGATAATTTTCTTTGATCAAGCAGCTGTTTAAATACAGTACATTGATAATATAAAGTAAATGGACCTATTTCCTCAAACTCTTCCTCATCTTCGGATGTTGTTCTCTGTATTGGACTAAAGAAGCCGCTGGCTGGCGAAACGTTTCCACAATAAAGATTCCCAAAATGCTGCAAAAAAAAAAAAAAAATCATCACACTGATAATGTTGACCCCACCCTAGGCTGACGGAGCTCCTGGACGCCTTGCTTCCTCAAGCTCTGCCTGACGCTGATTTCGGGGAGGACCAACCACTAGGGTCGTCATGCAGCACCTCCCCCAGCACCCCATCTCCCGCCACCGAGGCTTCTGAGGGAGGCGGCGTCCCTGTCGAAGGCGGAGGCTCCAGCCGGAAGGAAGAGGAGGATGAAGAGGGAGAAGAGGAAGCATTTAAACTCCTGCACAGGATTTTCAACGCCGTTCCCTCTGTACAGCTGCCCAAGGTGGGTGGTGACCTTCTTGTTATTTCTTCGGAAAGTAATCAGAGTCAGGCACAAATATCTCCCAGTCATATATAAGTTAATATTTTTGTGAATGTTTAGAAATGATGCATTTTTAGATTTTATCTCCCGAAATTTATCTACAAAGTACGGCCTCTGTTATTTTATATGCTCGGTCTTTGAAGGCTTGGGGATTGTAATAAAAGTTGCATGGAGAGCAATTAATTGTGATTGAATATGTAACAATATTAGATTTAACATTGTGTGTTGAGACTAATGTATGAAGTTACACCAATCCTCGCCTGTGACCCCCACCCACTGCCCCTCATCTGACCACCACCCACCACCCCCTCACCTGACCCCTCCACACCTCACCCCTCCCCTCCACACCTCACCTGTGACCCCCAATCTTGCACAAGGCCTGGTTACAGACCGGGCCGCTGGGGCGTTGATCGTAGAAACCCTCTCCAGGTATGTAGCTTCACGACCTTCATCTGTGGTTCTGTCTCTTGCACACTACACTCTTGTGACCTCCAACAGAGTGGAGGCGGCGTCTTCCTGAGGGCGCAGCAGCTGGTGGAGGTGTGCCAGCAGCAGCCAGGGGTCCTGGCTGGTGCCACCATGCACAAAGACAGGTGAGTCTGGCTTTTCTCCTCCTGAAAGATAAACCTGGGATAAACTCTGTTAATTCTCTGTTCGCGACGTCGAGCACAAATGTCTATTTTTTTTCCTCTCATAAAAATCGTCTATGTATATATTTTGCTTCGGATAACTAATACGAATACTCTCCTTAGATGTATTTGTGTAAACATATTCGAATACGGGTTATATATATAAGGTGAATCATTTAAAATAAAATATTGAATATCACTGCTATTTTTTTGTGTGTTTACTTCAGTGGTGTGGAAAAAAAATGTAATGGTAAGAAACCGACACCTTTTAAGCTTTTTATAAACCTGAAATATGAATATTAATTATTTGCTATTGTTGATTCGTAGTTCAATATAATTCTTGATTTTTGAGCAAATGATCAGTAACTTTACTCAAAAATTCTGTCTTGCTCTATAGGAGTGTGCAATAATTCCTTTTAAGTTGATAGGTCAAAGTTTTGCAATATATTTTAACCTTGAGAATTTCTGAAATTTCAATTCGTTTCGAAGCAGAGAAGCTGTGTATACCCTACAGCTGTAGTCATTCCTGGAGACGTTAATTCACTAAGCTTAGCTTCTTCACTATGAGCTTTTAATGAGAGTCAGAAAATCTGATATAGTTTTAATTCTAATGAATCTAAATTTTCGAACCTGTTAATAACATGGTTAAGTATCTTATATTTCTGCAGTGTTGCTGGCAGCGATCTGTACAGGGTTTCAGTAAGGGAGATTCCCTGGGATAGGGAAATATAGAAGGGGTAGTAAGGAAGGACATGTACACTCTGCTTTCCCTGCTCATATCTCCAGTAAAGGGAATTCTTTTTCAGTGATGATAAATATTATTTAGGGGAAATTCTGTCATTAGATTAGTCTGAGTCCTACTTGCATGGATTTGGGGAAAATTATTTTTAAGGTAATTAAAATTAATAGTTTGCCTGTTACATTTGGCAGTAGTATATTATTTTACTCAATATGTGTATCACTGATAATACCACAGATCCAATGTTGCATATCCCACTGCCAGATTTTTAGGTATTAAACGTTCTTGTCTATTAAGTTTCAAAACTTTGAACTTTCATATCAGGTTTAAATTCAGCGAAACAAATAAAAAAATGGCAGAATTTTGTGTAGCTAAATAATATTTAACTCGTATTTTTATTCTAAAGGAAATAATAAGTTCCACATAGGCAATGTTACCTTTCTTATAAGTACACGCCACTGGCTCTTATATTTATGCAAAAAGTTTGATAGTCCGAATATTGACTCATAATATTCGGCTACAAGAAGATAAAGGATACAAGTGTTTTAAAGTCTAAGTCAGTGATCTTCCCTGTCATAATGAGACGTTTAATGCTTGTAATAATGGAAAACACAGTAAGATTCAAGTGTCTGCTGCAGGTGTTACTAACACCTAGCAAGATGTTAGAGGCGATTTGTCCACATACTTTCTTTGAGCAATTAACTCTCACTCTTGAAGGACTGGATGTACAAGGTGTTAAGGAAGGCACAGGTGCCTCTTGAAGGACTGGAGAGCCATGGAGTTTAAATCGTTTATGGCTCACATTGAGCCTGTAAAGCACCTAAACTACTGGGAACGCCTGCAAGTCTTGAACATGTATTCATTGCAGCGGAGGAGAGAGAGGTACATGATAATATGTACCTGGAAAATACTCGAGGGCCTGGTCCCAAATCTGCACACTGCCATAACAACATACTGGAGTGAGAGATATGGGAGGAAGTGTAAAATAAACCCAGTGAGGAGCAGGGGTGCGGTGGGGACAATAAGGGAACACTGTATCAACATCCGGGGTCCCAGACTATTCAACATCTTACCAGAAATCAGAAATACTGCTGGAACAAGTGTAGAAGCCTTCAAGAGGAAACTGGACAAGTATCTTCACCAGGTGCCAGCTCAACCAGGCTGTGATGGATATGTGGGTCAGCAGGCCTCCAGCAGCAACAGCTTGGTTGACCAGGCAAGCACCAGACGAGCCTGGCCCATGGCCGGGCTCAGAAAGTAGGCAAACTCTCGAAACTCTTCAAAGGTATATGAAAGGTAGGGTAAGGTAAGAAAGTTCTCTCCACCGTTACAGGACTACTTCATGCCTCCATCACGTCTTCTCAAACTCTGAAAGACCTCTCCCATCATCTCCCAGCTGAACAAGAGGCTACTTTCTCAATGACCTCCACTTTGCTCCCATCGAAGGAACCCAAAATTTTAAAAGCTAATGATAGGGCATAAGCGTAAAAAATTGCGTGGGAGTTTGCAACATCACAACCATATTGATGTCTCCCAGGGTACTGAGCTAACTGTCTCTCTTCAGGGTATTCACCTCACTGTTTGCCCTCAGGGTATGTGTTCTTTCCCGTTTTTTAATCTACATTTTCCCTTGGGTAATGACCTTACTCTCCTCCCTAGGGATTATAATGTCCACCCTTAGGTACTGACCCTACTGTCCTCCCCCAGGGTACTCAACTCTCAGATGAACAGCGACCTGGCACACGTCTTGGCCTCCATTCCACTGCACAAACAGAAGGTGAGAACGGTCAGGAATATTTACTTGCCTTATTCATGTAAATCTTTTGAATTAAAATCGTAACACGTTTAACAAGTTTAAACAAATTCCATCGACTGGACGAGGGTCATTAAGGTCTATCGACTGGACGAGGGTCATTAAGGTCTATCGACTGGACGAGGGTCATTAAGGTCTATCGACTGGACGAGGGTCATTAAGGTCTATCGACTAGACGAGGGTCATTAAGGTCTATCGACTGGACGAGGGTCATTAAGGTCTATCGACTGGATGAAGGTCATTACGGCTGCATTTCATATGCAAAATGATGTTAATATTTTTCTTAGATCTTTATTTTAGGAATTAAACTGTGTATATATACAGAAATACCTCAGTGCATATACTCGAAGGAATAGACACCTTTCATTGTACATACACACAATATACACCTGTGTATATACGTTGAAATATACACCTGTGTATATACGTTGAAATATACACCTGTGTATATATGTTGAAATATGCACCTGTGTATATACGTTGAAATATACACCTGTGTATATACATTAAAATATGCACCTGTGTATATACGTTGAAATATACACCTGTGTATATATGTTGAAATATACACCTGTGTATATACATTAAAATATGCACCTGTGTATATACGTTGAAATATACACCTGTGTATATACGTTGCAATATACACCTGTGTATATACATTAAAATATGCACCTGTGTATATACGTTGACATATACACCTGTGTATAAACGGTGACATATACACCTGTGTATGTACGTTGAAATATACACCTGTGTATATACGTTGAAATATACACCTGTGTATATACATTAAAATATGCACCTGTGTATATACGTAGAAATATACACCTGTGTATATACATTAAAATATGCACCTGTGTATAATACGTTGAAATATACACCTGTGTATATACATTAAAATATGCACCTGTGTATATACGTTGAAATATACACCTGTGTATATACATTAAAATATGCACCTGTGTATATACGTTGAAATATACACCTGTGTATATACATTAAAATATGCACCTGTGTATATATGTTGATATATACACCTGTGTATATACGGTGACACACCTGTGTATATACAGTGACACATACACCTGTGTATATACGGTGACACATACGCCTGTGTATATACGGTGACACACCTGTGTATATACGGTGACATACACCTGTGTATATACGGTGACACATACACCTGTGTATATACGGTGACACATACACCTGTGTATATACGGTGACACATACGCCTGTGTATATACGGTGACACATACACCTGTGTATATACGGTGACATACACCTGTGTATATACGGTGACACATACACCTGTGTATATACGGTGACACATACGCCTGTGTATATACGGTGACACATACACCTGTGTATATACGGTGACACATACACCTGTGTATATACGGTGACACACCTGTGTATATACGGTGACACATACGCCTGTGTATATACGGTGACATACACCTGTGTATATACGGTGACACACCTGTGTAAATACGGTGACACATACACCTGTGTATATACAGTGACACATACGCCTGTGTATATACAGTGACACATACACCTGTGTATATACAGTGACACATACGCCTGTGTATATACGGTGACACATACACCTGTGTATATACGGTGACACATACACCTGTGTATATACGGTGACACATACGCCTGTGTATATACGGTGACACATACACCTGTGTATATACAGTGACACATACGCCTGTGTATATACGGTGACACACCTGTGTAAATACGGTGACACATACACCTGTGTATATACGGTGACACATACACCTGTGTATATACGGTGACACACCTGTGTAAATACGGTGACATACACCTGTGTATATACAGTGACACATACGCCTGTGTATATACAGTGACACATACACCTGTGTATATACGGTGACACATACACCTGTGTATATGCAGTGACACATACGCCTGTGTATATACAGTGACACATACACCTGTGTAAATACGGTGACATACACCTGTGTATATACAGTGACACATACGCCTGTGTATATACGGTGACATACACCTGTGTATATACGGTGACACATACACCTGTGTATATACAGTGACACATACGCCTGTGTATATACAGTGACACATACACCTGTGTATATACGGTGACATACACCTGTGTATATACGGTGACACATACACCTGTGTATATACGGTGACATACACCTGTGTATATACGGTGACACATACACCTGTGTATATACAGTGACACATACACCTGTGTATATACGGTGACACATACACCTGTGTATATACGGTGACATACACCTGTGTATATACGGTGACACATCTGTGTATATACAGTGACACATACACCTGTGTATATACGGTGACACATACACCTGTGTATATACGGTGACATACACCTGTGTATATACGGTGACATACACCTGTGTATATACGGTGACACACCTGTGTAAATACGGTGACACATACACCTGTGTATATACAGTGACACATACGCCTGTGTATATACGGTGACACATACGCCTGTGTATATACGGTGACACCTGTGTATACGGTGACACATACACCTGTATATATACGGTGACACATACACCTGTGTATCTACGGTGACACATACACCTGTGTATATACGGTGACACACCTGTGTATATACGGTGACACATACACCTGTGTATATACGGTGACACATACACCTGTGTATATACGGTGACACATACACCTGTGTATATACGGTGACACACACACCTGTGTATATACGGTGACACACACACCTGTGTATATACGGTGACACATACACCTGTGTATATACGGTGACACATACACCTGTGTATATACGGTGACACATACACCTGTGTATATACGGTGACACACCTGTGTATATACGGTGACACATACACCTGTGTATATACATTGAAAGATAAACACCTCTTAACCTGACTTCCTATGATAACGTTTAATGATAAACTGCAACAATAACCTAAATTCTAAAAATAACGTAATCTGTAAAAAAAAAAAAAAAGTGCATTTGAAAATTTTTTTTTTTTTGAGTTACCTTGACAACAGTATAACACTGACTTACTGAGGTATTTAAAAGTCGTATAGCAAGACTTACAAATCTGTTAATCAAGAGGATTCAAACCAATACCTGGAATATACCTTGAGTCAGTCCCCAGGACCTGGTCACTGTCCCAAAACTGGCACACCAGTGCTTGAACCAGTAGACCGTGCTGGTACAGTAGTTAGTGCTGGTACAGTAGTTAGTGCTAGTACAGTAGTTACAGTGCTGGTACAGTAGTTACAGTGCTGGTACAGTAGTTAGTGCTGGTACTGTTGTTACAGTGCTGGTACAGTAGTTACAGTGCTGGTACAGTAGTTAGTGCTGGTACAGTAGTTAGTGCTGGTACAGTAGTAACAGTGCTGGTACAGTAGTTACAGTGCTGGTACAGTAGTTACAGTGCTGGTACAGTAGTTACAGTGCTGGTACAGTATTTAGTGCTGGTACAGTAGTTAGTGCTGGTACAGTAGTTACAGTGCTGGTACAGTAGTTACAGTGCTGGTACAGTGGTTACAGTGCTGGTACAGTGGTTACAGTGCTGGTACAGTAGTTAGTGCTGGTACAGTAGTAACAGTGCTGGTACAGTAGTTACAGTGCTGGTACAGTGGTTACAGTGCTGGTACAGTAGTTACAGTGCTGGTACAGTAGTTAGTGCTGGTACAGTAGTTAGTGCTGGTACAGTAGTTAGTGCTATACAGTAGTAACAGTGCTGGTACAGTAGTTAGTGCTGGTACAGTAGTTAGTGCTGGTACAGTAGTTAGTGCTGGTACAGTAGTTAGTGCTGGTACAGTAGTTAGTGCTGGTACAGTAGTAACAGTGCTGGTACAGTAGTAACAGTGCTGGTACAGTAGTTACAGTGCTGGTACAGTAGTTAGTGCTGGTACAGTAGTTAGTGCTGGTTCTGTTGTTACAGTGCTGGTACAGTAGTTAGTGCTGGTACTGTTGTTACAGTGCTGGTACAGTAGTTAGTGCTGGTACTGTTGTTACAGTGCTGGTACAATAGTTACAGTGCTGGTACAGTAGTTAGTGCTGGTACAGTAGTTACAGTGCTGGTACAGTAGTTAGTACTGGTACAGTAGTTACAGTGCTGGTACAGTAGTTAGTGCTGGTACAGTAGTTACAGTGCTGGTACAGTAGTTAGTACTGGTACAGTAGTTTCAGTGCTGGTACAGTGGTTACAGTGCTGGTACAGTAGTTAGTGCTGATACAGTAGTTAGTGCTGGTACAGTAGTTACAGTGCTGGTACAGTGGTTACAGTGCTGTTACAGTAGTTAGTGCTGGTACAGTAGTTACAGTGCTGGTACAGTAGTTACAGTGCTGGTACAGTAGTTACAGTGCTGGTACAGTAGTTAGTGCTGGTACAGTAGTTACAGTGCTGGTACAGTAGTTAGTGCTGGTTCTGTTACAGTGCTGGTACAGTAGTTAGTGCTGGTACTGTTGTTACAGTGCTGGTACAGTAGTTAGTGCTGGTACTGTTGTTACAGTGCTGGTACAGTAGTTACAGTGCTGGTACAGTAGTTAGTACTGGTACAGTAGTTACAGTGCTGGTACAGTAGTTAGTGCTGGTACAGTAGTTACAGTGCTGGTACAGTAGTTTCAGTGCTGGTACAGTGGTTACAGTTCTGGTACAGTAGTTAGTGCTGATACAGTAGTTAGTGCTGGTACCGTAGTTACAGTGCTGGTACAGTGGTTACGGTGCTGGTACAGTGGTTACAGTGCTGGTACAGTAGTTAGTGCTGGTACAGTAGTTACAGTGCTGGTACAGTAGTTACAGTACTGGTACAGTAGTTAGTGCTGGTACAGTGGTTACAGTGCTGGTACAGTAGTTACAGTGCTGGTACAGTGGTTACAGTGCTGGTACAGTAGTTACAGTGCTGGTACAGTAGTTAGTGCTGATACAGTAGTTAGTGCT